TTTTTTATTTGTTTGCTCATTTCTCAACCACCACTCCTGATAAATATTTCGCATCCCCAAGCCCTCGGTTAAGCTACTCTGTTGTTTTGCCTATTTTTACTTTCCAGCCCCACGAGAGTACTTCCTCAAAGATCTTTTGCARTGTCATTGTGGAGATAAACAGCGCCGTAAAGGGACAAAACTGTACAAGTGTTTGGAGAGCCAAGAGTTGTGTCGTCATATCTCTGTGTTAGACCCTAATGACGTCCATGAAGAGGAAAAAATCCCTTGCTGTGTTGACAAACCTTCCCGTCATCCAACAAAACAAAAATWTAAACCAAAAATACAAACAAACAAGCAAACAAATCGCCTTCAAGCAAAAAGAAACAAGTAAAATAAAGAAAAAAATGACAAAATAGCTTTCTACTAAACACAAAATAACYAAGAAAWAATATCATATTGATCGTTTTCACCCATTCCCATGAGATTTAAGACCGRYSGYCATGCTGGAGGAATGAATAATAGATGCTATTGAGAAATTCGAAATTCGAAATTTGGGAGATGAAGTGGAGAAGCTCGATAAAGGCCTTATGCGMCACTTGGTGCGAAACAGCGCGATGAATGAGAAATTCTTAGTTAAAGTTCCTCCAAGATGGCCACTGTGACGTAACCTGAAAACGGAGAATATATGAAGAGGGATTATAATTAAGTAGAATGAAATTAGACGAAACACCAACTTAAAGCTGTAATCGACATTGACGACAAAAAATACAAACAAAAAAACAAACAACAACACGAAATCAGAATAACAATCATCATTCATATTTTCGGAACGACCTGTGAGTTACATAACACTTTTCTGTATCTGTTTCATGAAGAAAGAATTAATGGACTTTTTGATGAAATTACTTAATTATGAATGCGTGTGGGATCTCCTATAGAATTGTCCTGAATTTGACTTTGTGTTCAACAATGGCTGACATATGAATCAGATCACGCCAATGGTTGCTGTGTAAGGTATTATTAAGTCACCTTATCTCATAAGCAAGCAAGGAAAGCTTAATCAGTTAGCAGCAGGAGACTTGCCAGTTCATTGAATATTTAATTAAAATTTGTTTAAAAGATACGAAAAGAAAGTTTTTTTTATATGAACAGTAGTTTGCAGAGCGCGAGAAAGATGTTTAGTCGTGTTGGCATTCTTTTTCTCTCTCTTTTCTATGTTTTTGGTTATAAGGCAGCAGCATCAGCTAGTCCACAAAATGAAAGAACGTTGAAGGCAATGAAAGGTAAAGGATCGCTTTTTCTTTATATTTTTTTAGCTTCTTTAAAAAATATCCAGTATTGCAGCCCTCAGTAACAATAATCCAGTTTCGAATTCTCCAATACTCTGTGTTAGCCTCATTTGTGCGCAAAACATTCCTAATTGTGAGAATAAAAGTGTGAGATTTTAAATCAATTCCATTGTCTTTCTTTTCTAATTCCATGCGTTTT